TCATTGTATAATTTACAGTGAAAAACCGTAAATTGACATTCCCACACTTCCCTGCGTGACACTTCACATTTGATTTATTTTTGTTGAAATAACTATGTTTCTTCTTAGTTCTTTTCTAATCAGTTATGTACATTAGGGTTTTATGTTACATTTAATGTTGTTGAATTAATGTTTATTGCATTTTTAAAATGTCATGTGTGTTACCATGAATGGTGTTTAATGTTTGTGCGAATAACACCGTGCAGCTTCAATATAATAGTATTAACTTTCTTGTGGAAGATTGCTTGTGATGAGCTTTGATTTATCATGTGACTCAACACTGCTGTGATGATTGCTGGTTGTCAGTGTATTACAATGGTACAAATCAGATATTAACACTTCAATAGGTTGGTAAATTATCATTATATCAGATAATGAATTACGGTTTATTACTGTACATTTTAAGTTAAGTCTGTAAAACCAAAAACGTTGATACCGTATTTTTGACGGTAAAGTTCTGGTAACCACAGCTGCCAGTTTTTTTCCGTAAAAACAACGGGATTTTTTTTACAGTGGAGAATCTACATCTCTGGAATTTAATTCCAAGCTCTTTTTTTTTGCAACAAAGTTACTTTCTCTGTCTCTGTACATTGTGTTCCTCACTTTGTCCCGCAGTGCATGTGCAGCGGTTGTGTTGGTACTCATTTTTAATGACCTACTTCACATCTATTGTATGATTCACAAATATTAAAATGATAAATGTGTCGTGGCCACACAACTAAGCATTTTTCTCCCCTGAATTTGCAGATAAGACAGAATGCAAATAGACAGGCTATTATTTAAAATGTAAGTCTGCCTGCATGATATTAATGAGTCCCACAGACTTGGGCGTCTGGTTCAGGAGTGCTTGGTTTAGGTTGGAGACTGCGCAGGAAGGATGTTGAATTAATATGGCAGCAATAGAGATATGGCAGCATTTCATCTATGTCTATTAACTAAAAATCATTATATTACAGTAATAAGAATCCCCACTGTGTATGAATAGGGTTTACTTTTAAATGTCTTTAGAAGGCCATGTGTGAAATATTTATTTTAGCTTATTATTTATCTTGCAAAATATAGACTACCGGTCAAAAGTTTTGGGGTCGGTAAGATTTTTTAAAAATAATTCTTATTTATTTGATCAAAAATACAACAAAACCTGTAATACTGTGACCTAATATTACAATCCAAAATTATTCCTGTGATTAAAACTATATATTAAAATTATAATATATAAAATATATGTTTTATTTGTGTAATGTGCGCTGAGAGTGTTTATGAGATTCCTCCAGTAAAATCTTTCCATCCTTTCACTTTCACTGGGAATACTCAGGCTGACCTCAGGACAGTATTTATTTAACTAAAATCACAGTAAATAAGTTAATCACACAATTCATTAAAGCATGTTTGTCAAGTGTGTAGCGGTACAAAGCTTGCTCTCCTGCTCTCTGGAAAAGGTCATGTGGAACGACGGTCTCAGTGTTGTACATTACGCAGGTTTCAGGGTCACATGATTCTCTCTTTAATATGAGGACATGTGGAAAAGAGGATAGCGGTGCACGTGAGGCTCGCTGGATAGATGGAAATATTACACTACACCTGGCTAATGTGCAGTTTCTCCAGCACTAAGAGGACAAGCGCAGCTGTGAGAGACGTCAGCAGGGAACATGCATTACTCTGGATACATAGAGGGCTTCTGAAGCCCATTTGAAATATATTGATGTGATTGATCGGTTGTCACACAGGAATGTGGAGTGTATGTGTATGACCTTTACCTTGCATTTGCAAAAAGACTGAACAATATTGGATTATTTTTTGGATGAGTATTTGTATGATTTCTGCAGCTGAAAGCGGCTCTCTCTTCTGTTGTGTTTCTAATCTGTCAAAGGCACATTGATGTGGAGCGTCTGTTTTTAATCCGGCACACCAGCGGCGAATCTCTCCTGCCTTTATCCCCCTGGGTCCTGCTTTTGTTTTTATGAATTTGTCTGTTTCTAAAGTCACATGCCTGGTGAATTCTAATGTGGGCATCCTGGGCTTTCTTCTGAGAGTGCAAACGTTCGGGGGTTTGGCGATAGGAATTGATTTGGTTTTAAATGTCTGCACAGCCCATTTTATAGAAAGATGAACGATCCACCTTATTCCTGCGCCCCATGACGCTTTGCCCGGATTATGGGTGTAACTTCCGTTAAGCTGTGCACAATCAGTGAAAGGCTCGCTTTATGAATGCAATATGTTCAAAAAGTGTCACAATGAGATGACATTAATCGACTCACGCTTCAACCATCGAACATTAAAATGAAATTTAAAAGTTTAAAAGAATCAACAAGGTACTTTCAACAGACCAAAAATAGCACCCAAAGCGTGAGTCTTTGGTTAAATATTAGCCTGACTTCGTCATACTCATATATTAGTCAGAATGTGAGTCTGATACTGCTCCATAGGGCTTTGATTATGAGGCGTGTCTTAACCGAACCAGGAAAAAAAAAAACTCTGCACTCAATTGGATAGACCTACAACCAATCAGAGCAACGTATAGTTGCTTAGCATAGTTTCAACAGAACTGCACGCACGCTGGAAGAAGTAGTAAAATAATGAGTGTTGCTTCTTTTACTTGGTCCTCCATGAGTGCGACCAAAGGAGAAACCACAACGACTGCAGGGTTTTCATTGCGTCCCATCTTCTTAGCGACCATCGGAGCCAGCTGATAAAATAAACTTTTGCCGAATCCCGTAGGAAGGACGGCAAACACGTCTTTCCGATCGACAAATGCCTTGATTGCAGTTCTCTGTTCGTCTTTTAAAATGAATGCGCTGTCGATTTCTTTTACAACAGACGCGATAGCGGGATCTCTACATCTCAGTTCTCCAGCTGCAGTGATCTCTGAGGGAAACCAGTTCAACCCAAGCGCTCTTTGATAACGTGATGATTACGTCCCTGCAGATCATCTGTCCATCATCGTATAAAGCCCACCCTGGCAATTTGATTGGCCTGCCTAATTTTGAACTGATCATAATTACTCCTCAATGGATCGAGTCCAGACCGAACTTCCCGACCAAAAAATGTTGTGGGCGGGGTTCGGGCTGGCATCCAGGCTAGTTAAATATCACTGTAGAAGGCAAATATATATCTGTATTGTATAACAAGCCTTATCAAAAATGTTCATTAACTTCAGCATTACGTGACACTATATCAAAGTGATTTCCATCATTTTGACAGATTATAAATCGCATTTACCTGTGAAAACAAGCCTGGAAAGAGACGTGAGGATTATTGAGAAACGAGAGATTCTTCGTGCATTCCAGTGAATTATTAATGGAATATCGTGGATTACATTCGGGAGAACAGACCACAGATGTGCCGTATATGTTGTCCTTTTTCATACTTTTAAAGGCGGGTTGCAAAGGGAAAAATAAATATCATCATGAGGAAAAGAAAGCAGCGACTGAAAAGAGCTCTCGCCATAGATATTCTTGATATAACATCACGTTAAAATACCAAGTATAACGTTACTCTCATGATGTCTGAAAATAAATCATGAAGGAAATTTGACAGTTCATCCAGTCAAACTGACGGATCGGCTTTATTTGTAGGGCAACCTTATGATTTGAAATGATTCGTTTCAGCCTTTTTGAATGGAAGTTCCCCAAACCGGAAGTGCCGCCCATAATTCAAAACGCAGTAAGGTCGTCAGGAATAAGGAGGATGGGAGAATGGGTTTATTATCATGTAATGAAATAAAAGCTAGAATGCACACAAGACTTACAACCTTTTTTATTTTGACAGAAGGCATTCTAGAAGAGATTTAGGCTAAAAATGTATTTGTTAAATACATGTAAATGTGCACCTGCAATATCTTTGTTTTCTCAAAAAGCATAATATAATAAATAATAGTTTGAAATAATAGTTTGATAAATAATTGTATCAATAGGACAGTGTTTTTTTGCTAATATTTAATAGATCAGGCTTTTATGGATCATATAGTATGATAGCATATGTAACTCATACTCAAGGAAAAAAAAACACTTCATTTTTTGAGCAAAAATATGAAATTTGATGCAGTCGCTGATATTTATATGGACAAATACTAATATAAATCAATGAGATCTTTATAACAGTACAGACTACTTAACAGCAGATAACAGCTGACTACTTACATAAAGGCATGTAAACATCAGCTGTCACTCCATATCTGCCAGTAACATGTCTTAGCAAGATATTTAAATGCTTCGTTTTATGAACAAAGCTCTGCAGTTTTAAAACATTTAATACAAGGCAATACAATGATTGAGAGATGAACAAATAAACCTTACGCTAAAGGATCATATTTGATACATCTCAATAATTATGCATGGAAAATCAAGTGAGCCAAAGTTGCTTCAGTCCAGTAAGTGTTCATGTTAAAAAAACAATATAAACTATTTCAATATACGTTTAAAAAGACAAGTGAATCACGTGCTGAAAGGCCTTTTCATTGCTAGAAAAGCATAAACTATCATCAGGCGACCGCAGGCGTGCAGTAGATTGTGTGCAACAGGTTTTACAGCAAAGTTTTTGATCATGTTGATAATTGAGGCTTTAGAAACTCGTGTATCAAATATGATATAGAGGAACTAAGTCCTGGTGTAGCAGTTACACGTGACACTTACATACAGTATATGATATTTGTGCAACATTCATATTTAATGTTCACTTCAAGCAAAGCGAAAAGCCCGTCTTTGGCTGAGAATTTTCTCAAGATTTGATCGATTAGTTTAAAAATCAGTTTAGTTTGCATTCGTGCGCATACACACTGTATAATACAGCATAGATGATGGATTATTACTGCCATAAACTGAAATGTGTCTGAGGAAGCCTGAATGAACATAAAACTAACCCTCTTATTTACTCTCTCTCTCACTGCAGTAAAGTTACATCCTGCATTTGCAGTCCCAGTGTGTGTGTGTGTGTGTGTGTGTGTGTTTTGGTGTCAGACTCACCCCTATAGGCTGGAAGATAAGACCATCAACTTCATGGCTGACCTGCGAGGTGAAACTGCCCTCCAGGAGCTGCGAACAAAGACGACAATGAGAATATATAATGTGTATTTGGCATAAAAAACATGTAGCCTGCGGGCAGAGACAGTCTCATGGACAGAGGACAAGACAGAAAAAAAAAGTAAAGTTTCCAAAACAGATTTCTCAAACACTCTCTCCATCTGGGGAAAAAATAGCACAGTCCCAAACTCACACCACTGAGCCAGAAGTTGACATGTCAGACTTTCACAAACACTTCGAGTCTTGTTGAACACATGTCGAGTCTTTAGAGGAAATCAACATATGAACAGTGTTTTAACATCCATGTATGTTTGCATGCAAGCAGTAAATTCATTATAAAAACAAATTAAAAAAACGTGGCACTATCATAACATTATATTGTTTTGTTTGAGGAAGGGTGTGGCTCTCTGTCTGAACGACCAATGGCAGGGCAGTATGCAAATCCAGAGGCTTAAAGGGATAGTTCACCCAAAAATGACCATTCTGTTATCATTTCCTCACCATCATGTCTTTCCAAAACCATTCGATCTTCGCTCATCTTCCAAACCCAGATTTGCTGTCCCTCCATTGAATGTCCATTCCACCAAAATTGACAGTTCAAAAAGTTCATAAAGAGATTGTAAAAGTCATCAAGCGGTTTAAGTCTACTCAAGTCTTACCAATTCATCTGAAGAGAAACTTTCTATAATGAACATTGCTCAATTCACATCGAGCGCATCAAATAGGAAGCTGTAATGAGATTGACTGAAGTGTAGGAACTATTGAGGTTCGTTCTCATGCGTCAAGCAAGTATGGTTGAGCTTCTTGAGTGCTTTATGTATGCGTTTATCAATGTTTGTATGTGAATAAAAGCCTAAATCAAATCTGTTCGTTATATAAAGCGATCTTTATGAACTGTTAAACAACGTCTTGAAGTGTCAAAGTTTCAAGACGTTGCATTTGTCCTCATTAAACAGGGTGGGATCAAATTGGACTCTTGTTTACTTTATTATAGTGTTTCTGTTGTTTGAACTTCCAATGCAGGGACAAAAATCTCGTAGGTTTCATCAAAAGAATATAAATTTTAGTTAAGAAAATGAACTAAAGTCTCATGGGTTTGCAATGACACGAGAGGGTGAGTACAAATTATAGGCAACATCATTTTGGGTGAATGAACCCTTTAAATAGGCAAGGACTATTTGATCCATTGGGAATCAATTGGGATTTGATACAAAGACAGGCACTGATGAATCAACAGTAACAACAGAAACACTATAATAAAGCAAACAAGAGTCCAATTTGATTTCATGTTGACTTTGCAGAACATCCTTGAGAAACGGCGTCCAATATCATATGTAAACAATGCATTATAAAAGGGAAGTGCAGAGAAACGACAGAAAGTACAGGCGGCCGAGCTCTGGGATTTGCCGTTTTCATTAGCGTGACCCTGTCTATAGAGCGGCTGCCGCAAATGGATTCCTTTCTCATAAATGCTGAGACCTTGAGCCTGTCTGTGTTTAAACGGATCAGTGTCGTCGATCTAGGCTTCGCGACTAAGACAAGGTCTCCCACCCTGATATCACACTGTTCAATAGAAAAACCCTCCACTTCTTTCATTACCGATAATCTGTGTTTCTCTACGACCTTCCCCATAATCCATGCACAGGGACTGTGTTATTTTAGCTCAGCACACAGGGCTACGGCAGCAGAAAGATGGAGCACGGCCCTCCACTCCACATTAGCGGTCTTCTTTTCTCCTTTAACCTCTCAGACACACGTCCGCTCTGCTGTTGAAGAGGCTTGGACGGCGGATTGAGATTCTGGTCAGTCAGTAAGTCTGCAGTCGTGCCTCACACACCTCGTCCTCAAAGCTCCTCTACATGCAGGCTTCACAGTCTGCTCAGGTAACTGGCCAGTGTCCACATCCCACCCTGTTTAATGAGGACATTAGCACTTAATGAGATCATTAACTCCCGCTAAACTCTTTCCGAGATGAAAGGCTGGCTTTGAGCGCTGCAAATGTGTTTTGTTTCTTATTTATTTTTCTATTTTTCTTTCTTTATCCTTTCTGTATGATTATGTAGCACTTTATTTTACAGTCTCATTTCACATGTGCCCGGCCGAAAAAAAGTCTCGGTCAGGCAAATGCTTAAGAGTCTACGAATGGATCATTATTGCAGTGATTATGATGTTAAGATATGCATGTCATATGTTTGGCATCAGTTTTTCTAAACCCTAATCGAGTGTGTAGCTTTTCCTTTCCTAAACAACCATGGAAATAACCATCTAGAGGAGCATCAGTGTTTGGTGCAGATCTTGTATTGTCAGTGCAAGAGTCCAGCTCTCTGTAAAGTCCAGCACATCCTGAAGACTTTCCCTGAGTTTAAGATCTGGACTCAGAGGAGCATCAGTTCATGTGTGGAAATGATTCTTCATCTTCAAGCTCCTCACAACCATCCTTTCACAACCTGAGCCGGGTTAATCTTCATGTTGTCATCCTGGAATATGATCATGATGCGTTTCATACATGGTTGTTTAAGAAATGAAGAGCTACACACTCCATCAATCAGTGTTAGAAGAACTGATGCCAAACATGCTGGAGACATCATAATCACAGCAATAATGATCCAGTCAGAGACTCTTCAGCATTTGCCCACTTACATCCAAACAGTGATTTTTTTTTTTTTTGGGCCAGTCAGTGTATACACTTATTGAAATGACTTTTACAGCCAATTTGACTATACCTAAATTAAAGCAGCAACCGAACTTACGTTTTTAAGTTGAAATAAGTGGACATTTGTTACAGTGTAATTTATAGGTGTTTGCTGTTTTGAAACTTTGAACTTGAAACTGTGTGTTATATTTGTTCTTGGTAATTTGGCGAGCAGTTTTCATACTCTGCTTTGCCCACCCTGTTTTATGAAGGCCCACCCCTTAAATATTTTTGGCCTCACCCCTGATACAAACAGCTCACTTTTCCACACAATGTGTCATTTTTTGTGGGACTGTTATAGTGGACAATTGTGACAATCATGTAGTAGCCAATCGTGTGCCTTGACATAAGGATTCTACATGAATGCAGGAGCGCTGAAGGGTTTAATGGACTAAAATATTTTTACTCAATAAATATATTCATCATTTTTAAAGATATAAATATATAATACTATATATTGCAACATTAAGCAGGATGTTAACTACAGTGAAATTAGTTACTTGAAGTACAAAGAGTAAAAAAAAGGTAACACTTTATTTTACAGTGTCCTTGTTACATATGTTACATGTACTTACCATAGTAATAACAGTAAATTATGCATAATTACATGCAACTAACCCTCAACCAAATCCTAATTCTACCCTAACCCTATAGTAAGTACATGTAGTTGCTTAATATTACTCAGTCACTGTAACAATAACACCTTAAAATAAAGTATAACCAAAAAACTCCCTTATGTAACTGCTTTAAAGGCCAGTAAATTAGAAGATGTGTTATAAAAACATATGCCATTTTAAATAAATATCATTATTTGATGTTACACATTTCGTTTGATTTGTTTGAACCCCCCAACCGTCCCAACCTTATAGAGGGCATCTTTAAATCATAATTAATAAAAGTGTACTTAAAGCTCATTCTTTCAGCTTTTTGACAGTGCTTCGTCAGTTTTTAATTGTGTTTAAATGCCACATGAGTTTAATAGCTGAGAATAACTTTTCTCTCAAGAGAATGTCAGAACAAAGGCATCGTAAAGAAGCTGAAAATCAATGAAATTAAAGAGGAATAATGGATGAAGGTCAGAGGGAGGAAAAAGGGTCAGGATGTTGACAGGAAAGATTTTGGACCTCGACAGGATGATTGATAGGCCAGATCATGGTGACAGGATGCACATAAATATGCAATAATCATAACTCAATTAGTGACTGGATATTTGTGTCTAGCGCACAGATGGGTTTTGCCGCAATAAATTGTGTTTTTATGGGAAAAGCATTGTTTGTGCTGGCAGGGCTTTAATGACACATATACAATGGTGGAAAAATGTCAAAGCCACACAAAGGCAAGCACTTGCGCTCGTCAGATAATCATATTAATGTATGAGAAATACCATAAATCAATTCACTAATGCACAAATGATTTGCAACCAAATGTAGGTCTGTAACTGAACGTACAATTAAACGTAGAGCTGTTGGCATTAGCGCCTCTCGAGCTTTCGATACAGTGAGCATATCTTCATCATGCATTCATATCACACTGACCACAGGATTATTATTCACGAGCTGCTATAGTTATGACCTAGATTTCAGCAGACAGCGCAGCAAATGTAACGCGCCCTGCGTATTTCTGCCGAGGAGGGAGTCGTGAGTGTGTGAACGAATGAACTCCTGGACAAAAGCTCTGTGATCCTGAGCGTGGTTCTGTGCCGATCACTGACGGGAATCTTCCTCTGTTGGCCATTTCTTATCCGCACGTCACACGACAATGACACTCTCAGTCCTCAACAGCCTGTCATTATGACTTCATCCCGAAAGACTTCATCTTCAGATCAGACCCCGAACGAGACAAAGCCGAGACACACACAAGTGTTCGGGCACAGAGGAACCAGACGTATTCATGATGAACAATGAACAGAGCCTGGAGTGTGTCCACAGAGCGGCTACTGCGACCAGGATATTTCTCATGTTCATTTCACAGAAAATGATCCACTTATCCGTCATATTAGCAGAAACGCTCGGGTGATTGTCTGACGTTCCTGATATTGAACTGTGAGGCCTTTGTAAGCGAGCATGAACAAGGCCTTCTCTGGGGCTGTGCATTACAGGTCTGAACAGCAGTGGATACAGAAATGCCCCTGACATGCATGCATATCATTTGATATCAATATTCATTTCACACCATTAACTGGGAAGAAGATGGAGCAGTCCACATGTTTGTTGGACCTCGAGATTGAATATAACCATGCGCCCAATATTATTATTTTTTTTCGACAATAACTGGGCACTTACTGAAACATATTTGCTTGAAGGAAGATAATGTACTGGTGTGTGGTGTATTTACTGAAGTGCTGTCAAAGACTTGGATTTATTTTAACCTTGTATTTTCCCCCCACTTTTTTATGTGTATTATTATTAATTTTTTTATTAAACTGAGTTGTCGTGAAGACCTTTGAGTTTCTGTGTGTATGAGTTTTTCTCAAATGAAGGGTGAAATGCTGGTGAAGTGCCTCTCGGAGCAGCTCTGCAGATGAATTGAATGAATTGATAAAACTTCAACAATGCAATCAGTCTTTTAAAATGTAATTGCATTTATTTTGCCAAATAAGTTTCTGCACAACGGAACATGAATACTGCAAAAACCTACTTTTCAAAGTGTTAAATAAAAGTGGTCTTTCTACTTCAAAATTGAACATTTAATTCGTTATGTGGCGTTTATTTGAGAATAATTGTGACATTTACAAGCAATTATTATTATTACTTTGAGACATATTTCTGTCATATTTTTCAAATGAAACTGAGTTGTAGTGAAGGCCTTTGAGTTTCTGTGTGTATCAGACGATCAACTGAAAAGCTGAAATGCTGTTGAAGTAGCTCAGCAGATGAAGAGTGTGTTCATGTCCTCATATGTATGAAACACCACAAGCGTCACGTGTGTTTTCTGGTGTAGTAGACCGAACTGAGACACGCAGAACATGCGGACTTTTAGGGCGACATGCACCTGATCGTCTCGACCAATCCCGCTCCTGCGATCGACTGTCCTGCACGGCTCACCTGCGACCCTGATCACACACACCTGCCGTTCCTTTTCAAGTGATCCGGAAGACCGTGGTTGCTTCGGGTGTGTGTGTGATCAAGGTTGGAGCTGAACTGTGCAGGACAGTCGATCGCAGGAGCAGGATTGGCCACCCCTGCTCTAGATATCGCACATAAAAGACAAAGTATTGAAAATGTCTCAAAAGTTTATTATCGATATTTTCCCGATAAATATCGATCATTTATCAGCCAGCTCTCATACAGTAAGTGTGTTAAATGAGCTGAATCTTTTCTCCTGGGTGGAAATGTTCAATAGTTTGAACTAGAAATAGCCACAGCTATGTGCCAATTAAAGTTGAAGTCAAAACCAGATCCAGATCAATAACAGACCCCCTCAAGAGCATCAACAGAACTAGTCTCCTAAAGCCCTACATCCAGAACCAGACAAAGAGCTGTCGGTCCGAGGACGAGGATGGCCGTTTTAATGAACTGAAACGGGCACAACACAGAATATATTGCAATTTGTTGTCAATTGTCTGCAACCTGAGAGCCGTCTGTAGGGTGAATGTCCAGCCAGACTAAAGGCCTGTTCACACCGGGACGAATTTCGCTCGCGATATTCGCCGACGTTTAACGCCTCGTGACTAAACAAAGGGCGCCAATGTGAGTGTGCACACCGACGCGAAAAAACGGCAGGCGTAAAAGCGCCATTTTTAAAAAACCGCCTCGGGTTCGTTTTTTTAGTTTGACGCGCCGCGTCAAAACTATCCGACCAATGAGTTTGGCGCTTTTGCTCACGTGTCTGGAGCTTCTGAAGTTACAGTAAAACACAACTTGGGGGCGCTCAAACACAAAACGGTCTTGCCGAGCACACATACGTAACGGCGAAGAAGATATACGCCAAGTAGCGTCTACACTGCCGGGAAGAAATAAGACGAGGAAGATGCAAGGCAAGATGAATGTAGAGCTTCTGGTCTCGTTGCTGTCGGAACATAAAGAACTACACTACCGTTCAAAAGTTTGGGGTCGGTACGATTTTAAATACTTTTAAAAGAATTCTCTTCTGCTAACCATGGCTGCGCTTATTTGATTAAAAATACAACAGAAATCAGTTATAGTATTAAATATTATCTCCAGTGTAAATCAGCTGTTTTCTGTGTGAATATATAGTAAAGTGTAATTTATTCCTGTGATCAAAGCTGAATTTTCAGCATCACCAGTGTCAGTGTCTTCAGTGTCAAATGATCCTTCACAAATCAGTATAATATGAGGATTTGATGCTCAAGAAACATTTATTATTATTATCAATGTTGAAACAGTTGTTGGTCTGTCAGTTGTACAGTTTTTTTTAGTTTTTTTTTTAGGATTCTTTGATGAATAGGAAGTTCAAAAGACTTTTGTAACATTATAAATGTCTTTACTGTCACTTTCGATCAAATTAATTATTCCTTGATAAATTAAAGTATTGATTTCTTTCCTCCAAAAAATAAAAATAAAATCCTCACTGACCCCAAACTTTTGAACGGTAGTGTATATGACAAACGCGACAGCGACTACAAAAATCTTAATAAAAGAGAATGTTATGGAGTGGTATTGCAGAGCAAATGGGCGCCATCTAATGTCAGGGAATGAATTTGCATGTCCACTCGGCTCATGGTCAGCGAAAATCGCTTGGGTGTGAACACATAAAACGCGTTGAAAAACGCTGGCGAATAACGCGCGCCGATATTCGTCCCGGTGTGTACGAGCCTTAACGTCTGAAGGAATATTGTGTTTAATACATTGCCAATAGTCCTGCCAGAAGAACCTAACCATTACACCAGTGGAATAACCAATAACTTGATTCGATTCTTTTGTGTTTTCTGAGCTGCGACCTTCAAAAGTTTCAGAGAACTTCTGCGAGAGCATCAGAGAGACGCTTTCATTGAACAAAACCTTTGCACTGCTCGGCTCCAGTGCGTTTTCCCTCACAAATGGATTCAAAGCAGCTTCACAGAGAATACGGTTTCACAAAGCCACTGTAGCAATGGAGAACTGCATGAGATGTTCAGATAGGACGGTTGCTAGTTTAAAGAGGTTACTAATGTGAATGACCCCAGCACATTATATGTGTTCAACCATGGACTCTTAAGTGCCCTTTCACAGCACTACACACAGACGCTTGCGCGCGAGTACCTTGCGTGCAGCGTGGATGTCGAAGAAAGGCTTATTCCTGACGCTGAAGGGCTCGCTGGCTTTATCAATCTGTCCCAGCTTCATTTTCTCGAACCGTGGGGAGATGATCTCCTTCTCGATGCACAGCAGACGCCTGTTAAAGTCACACTGACCCACGGGCTGACCCTGAAAAACACATCACACAGTCACGACTCAACATGACGAGCTCCACACACTTAATAAAGAAAGAAGATGATTAATCCAGTTTGGCTTTTCCAGTTGTAATTTGCAATGCCAGAAGACAACAAGATGTAACCCCGATTTTACGTCAACGTGTCAGTTATTCAGCCTTGTGGTTGAATAACACTATTACTCATCTATATTAATATATTTGACGACTTGTTTTGAAAGGGATCTTATTCTACAGTTGTGCTCTCATGATGATGTTAGTCAGGGTTTCTCGCACTTAGGTTTTCACGACCGTTTTACATGTTCTGTGTTTCTGTACTGCACCTTTGAGATGTACATGACACCTTTATTATAGCAAACCTCTGTGTGTGAAGTTCATTACAGTGTGGCCTATGTTGCTTAACACTGAATAAGTCCTGTGTACATGTGGTTACGATGACAAATTTCAGGACGAGATGTTTTTGCAGCTAACATCATCACGTCTTAACTAGCCACGACCAAGGAAAATAACAAGTGACAGGACATGATATTGGTCTTTCAGATTCTATTGCTGTTAAATTGCACTGAGTAATTCAACCCACAGTGAAATTTCACTGGATTCACAAACAAATCTTAGTAATAAAATGATTCACTATTACAAGGGAGGAGCACGAGTAATCTGACAAGTAAGAAGTCTTGTTTTAATGGTTACAGTGTAATGTTGAGCAGCGCTCAGCGCACAGAGGCAACCAACTCTCGTCAGAAAGCTGAGGTGCAAATGGTGTGCGCACTTAAAAAAAAAAAAAATACAAAAAAAAAAATGAATGGAAACACCAAGATCCACATGGATTCTAAAAAATGTGCTCGATTGAGGTGGATATTTTTTGTATCCGATAAGCAGCATCGCACAGCATCTCAAATGCTGGTTTAGTGGATCTGAAACACCCGAGTCAAAGTCTGTCATGAGCAGTAGCGGAGTGGCAATCGGGAGAGTCGGGAGTTTTCCCGGTGGGCCGGTATTGTTTCGAGGCCGCGAGGGCCGGTCTGATAAAATATATTCATTGCAAATTCGCCATGCGCACTTGGGGCCCAAGCGAGGGGAAGAACACTTTTTTTTTTTTTACATTTTCTATAACAGAGCGTATATTTGCACTAAGTGCCTGTCTTTAAAGCAAAAAGACACTCGTTACGAAACAGCTACAGTGGCGTAGGTCGTAGGGCGTGAAGTGCTTGAAAGGTAGCTTTTGATGCGCTCGACCCGAGTTCGAATCCGCCTTTTGCCGAACTCTCTCTTCTCCCTTTTCCCAACACATATGAGATGTAAAATGTATAACCTAACATTAAGGTCTCTAGCGTTATATTTTGCCAACGAACTAAAATTGAAACCATGATATGGCTTTGTGTCTTTATAAAACAGCACAAGACTTTAAGAATAGGCATCCTGTCTGTGCTGGGTGATTACTTTGCTCACGCGATCAGCATGGTTATCTGGTGTTTTCTCCTAAAAGCTCAAGGGTTTATTTCTTGCAAATGAAGAAATTAGGACAAAAATATTTTAATTGTCCTATATTATAGTGTAATGTAGGCTAAAATATACTTTTGAAATATTCATTTTCATTTATATAGTACATTTATAGGCTAAATGGATTTTACGTCATAGGAATAATTATATAAATCATTATTACATTATAATAATAATTGTTTGGCATCCTAAAACATCATTGATAATGTAATGCAGACTGAGACTCTCATAACTAAAAAGATGCCCTCTTTATTGTCCTGGTACAAATCAATGCTTTTTCTTTGTTCAACGAGCAGTTCATGGGTTGAAGCTCTTAATTTTGATCTCTCAAAGAGCACGAGATTGATGCTTTTAACCTTAAAATGTAAAAAAAATTCTTGCGGGGGAGCATGCCCCCGAACCCCCCTAGAGGCACAGAGGTCCACCCAACATAGTTTTAAAAATTCCTATGGGAAAGAACGACCATTTATGAACTTTACTCCAGCATAGTACAACAAAGTTACTTTTAAATCAGTAAAACTGTAAATGCCGTATTAAAATGTCCCTGGACAAAATATACATTTGGCCTGCCTAAGAGGGGACCTACAAGACATTGTGCCCAGGGGGCTCTTAATCCGGCCCTGCCGGCGACGAGGGCCGGTGGTCTACGAAATTTCCCGGTAGATTTTTTGGTCCCACTCCGCCCCTGGTCATGAGAATGATTTGGTTTAATTCCCCCCAGAAGCGTCTCCCACGATTGTGTTCCCAAACACCAGCATCCGAACGCAAGAGAACAGGACGGCGTTTGTTGCGGTTAGTCTGCCGCTCTGCCAGTTTCTTCCCCAAATGCAGCAACTTCCATTTTTATTACAGATATTTTGCGCCAATTTCTCAGGAAGTGACGATTTTGTTCTCTTGAACACATGGGATGGAAACGGTGCTTTATTTGCAAATGTTTTATGCAATAGTTCAATTTTACGCATAAGTTACATTCGTAACTTTCAATGGAAACACAAACACTTTCACATGGCATTTTTTCGCTGGACAAACAAATGACAATGATGTCTCTTCTAAGAGGACACCGAGTTAAGAAACCAACAAATCCACTGATTTCAAAAGTCGCAAACTTTTGTGTCAACAGACTCTGATATAGTTGACCATTAGTTGACCAATGACAATGTCACAGTTTGGGATCACAATTTGCTGTATTCCCACTTGGTTTCAAAATGACCAGTCACTGTACACTAGGGCTGTCACTTTTGTGAAAAAATCCTGTTAGATTTTTGAGACGTAAGTGTTCATTGAATCGATTGTATAATCGATTTTCCATGTCTAAAGACGTTTCCATTTTCATCACCAAATATAGGCAAATCCACGGACACCTAACAGGCATTAGGACGAGCATAAAGAGGGCGCTTGAGACGCGCAAGTCAGCAATATTTCTGATGATTTATTGGCGTGAAGTTTCGTGCACAATGACAAACAGGAGCGCAACATTCAGGGATTGAGATTAACACCCTCGACCCGCCAAATGCGGTAAAAATGAACTTTGGCCGGAAACGCTGTCAAATCACGAGCCAGTTTGGCGTGTTTCTATGTTTACTCACTTTGCTGGGGAAGTTCATGTAAGCCAAATCTGTGCGGATTTAGCGCAAATACGCAACTCGTGATCCTCATGATATATTAAATACAGCGTATTGTGCAGAATCTGCTCATATCTGGCTTACTTGAACACACACGTCACTACGCAACAAATAACGGCGCGCTTGTTCACTTGCATTAAAGTAATAGCGAATATTAAAATTTTTATTAAAAATGTTCCGACATCCTACATGTTCTGTGTCCTGTATTGATCTGTCCACCTAAAACACATTTAAAAAAAAAAAAAAAAAGGCCGTTAAAATCGATTCCCTATTTTCGTTTTCGATACTTGTGTTGGTTGGTCCGATCGATTGTGCAATCGATTTTCGAACGTAAAGTGACAGCCCTAGTTCAAACCCTCACAACGGATTTCTTAACATCAAACTCAAAATGTCAGACTGTCTTCAGTGTGTAGGTCTCCGGGTGAACTGGGGCGCTTAAACGTTATGTCTACAGTCAGTGCACAAAAACCTTGTATTCGAAAAGATCAGGGGAGATTCGATTTATCTTGATATGTTCCCTTGCGATCAGGGAACGTGTTGAAGGAACAGACGGCGTGTGTATCCGTGCATCAGGAGCTCTGGATGTAATCCACCTCTCTCTCTTCCCATCACGACTGAGCCAGCCGTCTCCATGGAAACATCTCCACACAGCGCTCTCCGATGGGATCCCATCCACGTCACAACACCGCCGAAAAGGCTGAGACTCGGTTAATCAAATGGAATTGAGGCGATCTATAGAAGACAAAACATCTGACCAGTTCCCCGTCCTGAACCCATTCAGACAGAAGACTCGGGTCTTACACACGGACAACACTCGATCTCTTCAGGACGCTTCTCTCGGGTCACTCTGTGATGGAACGAGGGACTCGTTTAACTCTGTATTTGATTTTGTATTTCCATATTTGTGCTGCAAATGATGCGTTTATGTGCATGCATGTTTTATGAGGAACCAACATTAAAAGTGATGTAACACTTTCTAAGAAGCCCGTGCTTATAATGAATTATAGTCCCATTTATACTTATTTATAAGTATTACTATTCTATAAATATATTTATAAAGACTCATTAAGACTTATACTGCATTAAAAGAACAGTTATAGTTACATTTATGTTATTTGTATAATTACTTATGTCATGCATTTGCTTTTTCAGTGCGCATGTTCATAATCCATTATTCACTGATTTATAAATGATCAAATATAAAAGAGTTCCAGAGACACTTGTTTGCTGTACCAATTAGTTATCAATTATGTATCTACTGGCTAATGTTTGTTAAGATTTGTTAAATCTACATCTCCTCAGCCATATGCATGGCTTTGCTTATATGAATTATGTTAAAAAAATATATTGTTGTAGTGTTTTGCTAGTATAAACATTAAAAATCGATTCCCCCCCCCCCCAACTATTTGTATGAATGATTTCTATGTTTTTCCCATTATTTTATTACAGGAATTATTGTTCATTAGTTACATTTACAAGTAAACAACTTAAAAAGTATAATGAGAACATCTTGCATTTTCACTAACCTCTATAAATGATGGCTTTATCACTCACAATAAGTGTGTATAAGAACGCAACACAGCTAATAATAACAATATATTCACTTATTTGACAGATATAAATCTGAATGACTAAACAATCATTGCAACTATAATAGTATAGCAATGCAGGATTCATTTTATAATTAAATTCATGGAACCATACGACTGACTTATTCATACTTATAAATCAGTGAATAATGGATTATGAACATGCACATTGAAAAAGCAAATGCATGACTTATAAATAATTATAAAAATAACATAAATGTAACTATAACTGTTCTTATAATACAGTATAGGTCTTAATGAGTCTTTATAAATCAGTATAAATGG